CGTGGGGTGCGGGCGCGGCTCTGCTGGAGCCAGCCGCGCGTCCCAAGGAAGAGTTTGCGACTGGCTCGGCGCCTCGCGGATCGCTTGCGAACATCTGCAGCCGCGGGTCCTGAAGGCAGCGTGTCGAAAACTTAGGATTTTGCTTTCTTTCCAGATCCCAAAAGGATAATCACTTACGATGAAGCCATGGATCGCCCAGATCAATGAAGGTAGCAAGACAAGACTGCCTATTCTAACCTTTCTGCAGCCTTTGTGCTGTTCGTGGGGGACAAAAGGCTTTTATGCTCCTTCTAAATCTTCAGTGCAGCAGAAGAACCATAACTAGAATCACAGGATAATATATACAAATATATATATAGTTATTTAAAAATGGCAACTGAAAGTAATTAGACTCTTAAGGAATCTGAAAATTTATTTCAACGAGACTACACACGTGATTATTTAATCTCCGGTACTGAATAGATTTTTTTCTGTTTTTTTGTTTTGTTTTTGTTTAAAGAGTGAATGCAAGTGATTAACGAATACAGACTCAATTTACAAGCCCGGTTCTAAAGTTCCTGCTGTTGTCTACGTGGGCAACAGCAACTCACTGGAGAGGCATTTCCACTTGACAAGGTTTCTGTTTCTCGTTCTGTGACTGTAGTGACACACTAATCACAGGGAAATCAGGATGATTCACCATCCTTCATCTCCCCTTTCCCTTCCACCTCCCCTATTTGGTTTTTTTTTCTGTTTTGTTTTCCACTGAATGCTGGAGAAACGCCTTGAAGTTTGCAGAGGTTTGTTTTTCTTTCCAGAGAATTGTAATCCGCATGTTTTGCCAGGAGTAAAGCAGCCAATCCTATGCTGGGGATATTGTCTTAAAGCATCGTTCTTCTGGGGGAAAGATGGTCATACTGCAGTTCTAGGATGCATGGGGAAGTCTCACAGTTGACCTGGCTCCAGTTACACATTGGACTAATGCAACTGAAGAGTTCTTTCATTTTAAAAGACAACATGCGAAAATAAGCAACCTGTTTAGGCATTTAATATGGGGGGGAAAAAAAAAAACAACAAAAAAACCTGTTCCCACAGTCTAATGCCATTGTATTGCTGGGAGCAAAAAAAAAAAAAAGTATCTTCTGCTTTCAACTGTAGGTGCTTCATACTTGCTCTGTCTGTCTCCTAACACTAAATGTGCCGGATTTTTTTCCCATTTCCATTGGAAAATGAAGAGAAATTGAGTTCCGCTAACTTTCATCCTTCTTGAATTATTTTTTTTCCTCTTTAAAAAAAAAATCAAAAGAAAAAAAAAAAGGAAAAACAGGAAAAAAGACAAAAAAAAAAAAAAAAAGAAAAATGGGAATTTGAATCCTTTTCAATTTGTCCATAGAACGCCAATGGCTAGGCTTCCCACACCTGCCTGTTGGAAATGCTCTTTTATATTTTAATGCAGTCTGTGTATTTCTGGGCTCTGCTTCTAATTATCTCTTAATAAAAGTATATTTTATTACAAAAATGGAGGACTTGGGAATGAAAATAATAATCTAAAAATATATTAAAAAAAAAAAATCCTTTTCAATTTGTCCATAGAACGCCAATGGCTAGGCTTCCCACACCTGCCTGTTGGAAATGCTCTTTTATATTTTAATGCAGTCTGTGTATTTCTGGGCTCTGCTTCTAATTATCTCTTAATAAAAGTATATTTTATTACAAAAATGGAGGACTTGGGAATGAAAATAATAATCTAAAAATATATTAAAAAAAAAATCCCAAGGAAAGGAAAGCTTCCTAGCAGTGGTAGACAAGGCTGAGCAGACTGCAGGCTCCGGCTGTGTAACCCGCTCTGTCCCATTGCAGCTTGCGTAGCGCGTCCAAATCATCTTGGGGTTGGGTAGGTTTTCTGGGTTTTTTTTTTTTTGAAGGTGGAAAGTTCACGTGGTCCAGTGCAAGAGCAAGCAGTGAATGAAGCAAAAATGGGGGTTTTTTGACCCGGCCAAGCCCCACACGTCCCCAGTGCTCGTCGTGGGTGTCTGTGGCTGAGTATGGGCTGATGCGTGTCTGGGCATCAAGGTCCGCAGCCGTTGGTGTCTCCTAAAATTAGACTGGACCCAATGGGGCATTATAGGAAGCAGATAAGCCCAAAACCTTTACCTACCCCTTGTGCTTAGATTTATCCACTTCTTTTTTTGTTAACTAGGAGTATGTAGCATGCAGTTTTTTTAATTGTTTTTATTCTTTTAATAAGGTTGTTCCTGAATGAGACGCTTAGGTTCATGGTGGGACAATGAAACTTCATTCTGTACCTTTTGTATGATTGCTAGCTTTCTGCCACGCTTAGTTTGAAAAGTTTGACTATGGATTGCCTACTCCATTTTATGTATAAAATACTATATAGTATAATACTGTAGTGTAATACTATATAGTAATGGTGTATTGTATCAGTCCAGGTTCAGAAATGTGTGGTTGGCCAGTCGCGAATAGTTCTGTTTCACCTATAAACTGTGCCACCTTTACAGGTGTGTGTAACTTTCAGATGTATCACATGTTTACAGATGTGCCCGACATTCTAGTCCTCCGACGTTCCCATTTTGAATTCTGTCGAGTCTCCCAACTGCTTGCCAAAAGTCGGAATCGCTGGCTCTGCTGCGGAAGAGCTGGGGCGTTCCTGAGCTTTAAAGTGTTAAACAAACTGGATGGTGGGACTGGGAAGATTAAGGTGAAAGAAATGTTCTTTTTTGTTGTTTTTAATCATTATTTTCAAAAAGTTGACGGCTAATAGCAAAGTTTCCAGTTTGTTTTACTGGCTTTAAGGCTCTGCTGTGTATTTATTTGCCTTGTGTAGTCACTTGTCGCCTTAAGGGCTGGGTTCCATTACAAAAAAAAAAAAAGGAGAAAACAAAAAAAAAAAGACAAAACCAAGACCTGTTTTACTTCCCTGGGGTCTGCGCTGTCGTGGTACCCTGCCCCCAGCCCCGCTGTCGGGGAGGGGGCCGGGCGGAAGCTGGACAGCACTAACCCGTGCTGACCCTGACCTGGTGTGTTTAGAAGGGCCCAAGCCTTGCTGAATGTTTGGGGACGCTCGCCTTGCCCTGGGCTGGTCTGTCTCCTAACTAGCGAAAGAAATGCTGGAAGGAACGCATTTGGAGGGAGGGGTTGGGTTGGTTTTTCCCCTGGCGTTCGTCCCTGCTGCTTTTCGTCGCTGCGCGTGGCCCCTTGCCCTTGGTACCCCTCCAGAACCCCCTCTGCAGCTTCTCTGCTGTGCTTCTGACCGCCCTCACTGCAGATGTCTGTCTGTCTGTCTGTCTGTCTCCACGAGCTCCACGGCGTGCGCTCGGCCCTAAGCATTTAGGAAATCCTCTCCCTGAGCTCCTGTCGCTCTGGCTCGCCGGTGCGGGCGGTATTTGCCTAGAGCCAGGCAGGACCGTGGAAGAAACTCCCTTGTGCTGTCGTGTAACTCGCCCGTCGCTACCTGCAGTCCTCCCAAAGTCCTCACACAATTCTTTACTGAGCACTTATTAAAAATATCTTAAGATTTAATCCGTTTTCTGATTATTTTTGTGTAAACCTATAAAAAAAAAAAAGAAATTGAGCTGTGACTAATTTAGCACATTGAAACAATGCTGAGGTGTTACTGAGAAGTCTCATGTTCTGTTTTTGTTTGACTCGGAGTATTAGTACTGTAGCATAAACCAAATAGAGCCTGGGAAGGGGTGCAGCCGCCCTCTCTCTGGCCTGCGCCCGGGGGTGTCCGCGCTGCGGGGGCGAGGAGCAGGCACTGCAGGGGTGAGCATCCCACTGGCATGAGGAGAGCGAGTGTGTATTTATTTGTGCCATTGGTCTCATTACACTGAGTAAAGTCAGTTCTAAAACAAAACCCCTTAAATACGTGTAATGTCGGAAAGTGGCACGAAGGGCGAGATCCTGACCTATTTTTTTATTAGCTATGAAGATACTAATTCAGGTTAAGGCTTCTCTCGTGTTTCTGTTCCCATTGTGGGTCCGATGGGTCCCTTCCCTCCGGTGCTCTGGTTCCCTTGCCAGGCTGTCTGTTTATGGAGTACAGACTCCTGCGTGGGCAGGGGCTGTCTCCTGTCGCCTTGGGTCCTTCCCCACCGCTCCTCCTCTGTGGTGAGTCCTTCCCCACTGCTCCTCCTCTGTGGCAGGTCCTGCCCGCTGCCTCTTGCACAGGGTCCCATCTAACCAGGATGGAGTGTGTGCTGCTGGCTGGATCCTACGCGGGATCTGCTCTCTCTTGGGTGGATCAGGGAGGGCTTCGTCCGCTCCGAGGGGTGATTGAAAAGCTGCTCCGTGCTCCCGTCCCCGGTGACAGGATTTGGGGACCTCCAGCCTCTCTGCTCCCTCCCGCTCCACCTGTCTGGCGGATTGGCAATGCGATGGCTTTTGAGGCTTGGTTGGAGTTCGGTTTTGGTTTGAACCCACCTCGGTCATCCGTGAACCTGTTTTCACTGTTAGAAATCTCTCCTCTCTTTGACGAGGTGGGTAGCTCCAGGGCACGGTTTCTGTTGCTACCCCGCTTCAAACCATCGCCCTTTCTGAGCTGTAAGTCCCGCTGTTTGCCTTTCGTAGCTGCTGTGAACTGCTTTGAAATGTGGGGAGGGGAAAAAAGCCCCAATTCTCATGAGGTCGCGAGCATGGCAGCTGTGCGGCAGCTAGGCGCGGGCCACTGGGTGAGCTGGCCAGCTAAATCAAAAGGAAAATCGCTTCCTGCTAGGAAAAAAAAGCAGAGAGATGGCGGTTGTCCTCTCAGTTGCTGGTGTAATTAGTGCTGTTCACCTTCAGGAGAGCGTTGGCGTGGCACGATACCGTCCTTGCCAGAAGCGGCCGGTGGGTGACCTTGGGGGCACTGGGGAGCGATGGCATGCGCAGGCGCGTTGCAGACCCGCTGGTGGTGGTCCCGTGCGTTCGGATTTTGCTCTCAATTCAGCATTTTCAGTAAATCGCTGTGGCGTCCGAAGCTTTCAGGAGTCTCATCCCTAGAAGATCTTTCTGTACGTGTGTCCGTAGAGATTTGTTTTCCTTACAGAGGCTGTTTACAAGGGAGATGGTCGGGGTCAGGAGGGGAGAGAACAAGTTTACACCCCATTTAAAGCTGCTACAGATTTTCACACCGGTGCGTAAGGCGGGAGGAGGGCTAGCGCGGTGCAGTAGCCGAAGAAGCCAGACTAATTCTAGCTTTGGCTACCGCGAGAGCATTTTTTTCCACGTGAAAAGCCCTAGCGCAAGCAGTTGAGGAGCAGGAACCTGGGCTGGCACGAAGGAGCGGAAGATCTGGGTCTGCGCCGCCTTCCCGAGAGCTTTAGGCGCTTGCACAGTAACCGCGTGTTCCAGCGCGGGGTAAGGCTGGTCTCCTTGGGCCCCGCTCGAGGTCCTCGGCCTTCCCGCGGAGGGGCTGAGCTGTATTAATCTTGACTGTTAATCAGAAAGCTTCGTATAACGCATCCAGAGCTCTAAAGCCATTTTGTGAGATAGCAGTATCCCTTTTCTACAGCCTTATTAATCAGTAGAGTATCTTTAAAAAGAAGAAGAAAAAAAAAAGTTCGTTTCTTTCTGTGGTATGAAACTTGTGTACTGCGAACATATGAACATTTAGCTAAAACACAACTTACAGTTTTCTTAAAAAAACAAACAAAAAAACCAACAAAAAAACCTGTCTGCTTTCCATACGGTCTTTCCTCAGGTGCTACATAAGGGTTCCAAAAATGGATACTGCTTTAGGAGTTTCTGCTTTATTCTTAAAATACATATTTTTTTGCTTAGGTGTTGTAAAGATATTTTAACAAGAATGTTTTTTTATTGTAAATAAGATTGTGTCGTTAATTTTTGGTTTATCTCCTTTTTGTCTATATTGAATAGTCTAATTTTCAGTTTATCCTTTTGAGAAGGACCCTCTTACGACCTTCCTCGAAGACATTTCATGACGTGTTGCTGCATTTAAGAATGAATCTACAACTGTTCATTGTCTTGGATTAACGCTGCTGCTGCTAGAAGTAACCCTGAAAATCGAGAATGCGTGATGCACTTTTTTTTTTTACATGACCACAGAGTTCCTCTGCGGGTCGTCGAGCCCTCCTGTAGCACGGCCACTGACTGCGGGGAGCGTCGGAGCTGGGGAGCCGGGGCGGGGGAGAGGGGCGTGTGGCATTCTGGTGCTGACTTATGGGAATTCCTATGCAAACGTGAGCGAAGGAGAGCCCTGAACTTGGGAGAACACTGTGCATTTGGGTTTTTTTTTTCTTTCCCTCTTTCCTTTTCTCAAGCTGCTATTGGGAGGGTGGTGCAAATCCCCGAGGTTTTCCACTTCTCCTTCCTCGATGGCTGGCGGGGCAGGAAAGGTGCCTGAGTAACTTGTAAGGTAGAAAAATCTCAGTCAACTGTTGTCTTGTCTCCGGTTGGAACGTTTTTGTTTTGTGTGTGACTCTATGGAAGGAAATTGCTCATCTCTGCAAGAAGATCTTCTTAATGCTCGATCCCAATGTGAAGTTAACCAGCAGTGTGAACAGTAGCTTGGCCTCCTCCCTGCCCGAGCCCCCGGCGCTGGGGGGTCGCAGGCTCCTCTCCCGCTGCCTGTGGGTGCCAGCAGCGGTTGGTGCCCGCAGCCAGATGTTTTCCCAGCAAAAAGCTAGTCCGGGCCATCTTCTCTAGCCAAAACCTGACGGCTGAGGCATGAAAGCCCCCGGCCTGGGGAGCCGTGAGGGAGGTCTCGCTGCGTCAAGGTCCTGCTGCGGGGCACGGCCAGCTCCGGAGCCTCCCGTCGGGGCCTGG